AAAATTTGTATGGAAAAGGTTCTTATAAACGATGAATATATTTATGTATATGGAGGATCAGGCATGGAAAATTGAGATTTTGAATTGGTTTAAAATTCTTCCCAAAAAATAGTACTTTTATAGGATTAAAAGTTACTAGGGTTCTATAAATCGACTTTTGAATAATCGAACAATCGACTTTTTGTCGAAAAAAGTCGAAGTGGACTATTTTGTTCCAAAAAGTCGATAACTCGACTATGGTCTGTGAAAAAGTCGAAAAGCCGACTTTGTTAATAAAAGTCGAAAAGTCTGAAAGTCGAAAAAGTCGATAAGTCGAAAAAAGTCGATAAGTCGAAAAAAGTCGATAAGTCGAAAAAAGTCGATAAGTCGAAAAAAGTCGAATAAAGTCGAAAAAAAGTGAAAAAGTCGAAGTCGGAAAAAGTCGGAAAAAGTCGAACACTCGAAAATTGTAGAAACAAGTCAAAATAGTCAAAATCTTAAAAAATAAAGTCGAAGAAAGTCGAAAAGTCGTAAAAAGTCGAAAACTCGAAAATTGTAGAAACAAGTCAAAAATAGTCAAAAATCTTAAAAAAAGTGGAAAAAAAGTCAAAAACTCTAAAATAGTCGGAAAAACTCGAAAAAAGTCAAAAAATAGTCGAAAAAAGTCGAACGAAGTCGAAAATAGGCAAAAAATCGAAAAGTCGGAATAAGTCGGAAAAAGTCGAAAAAAGTCGAAAAGTCGAAAAAAATCGAAAAGTCGACTATTTATAAAATACTTATAGTCGAAAAGTCTAAAAGTCGACTTTTAATTAAATGAAAAAAGTCGAAAAATCGACTTTTCATAAAATGCAAAAAGTCGAGAAGTCGAAAAGTCGGCTTTTAACTAAATCAAAAAAGTCGAAAAGTCGACTTTTCGTTTCAACTATAGAACCCTAAAAAGTACTGAATTACATTTCAAAGTCTTTTGTGCAGTCTTTTAATAATGTATTGACTAGTCTGCTGATTAGTTTATGGACTAGTCAATTGATTAGTTTATGGACTAGTCTATGTAATATTCTTGAAAAGTCTACTGATTAGTCTATTGAATTGTCTGTAAACTAAACTGTTGACTTGTCTATGGACTTTGAATTTACTAGTCTATTGAATATTCTATTGATTAGTTTATTGACTAGTCTATTAATTACTTTATTAACTACTCTATTGAATAGTCTTTTGATTAGACTTCTGCCTATTCTAATGACTAGTTTCTTAATGTTGACTGGTCTTTGACTAGTCCATGGACTATCCTATTGACTAGACTACTGACTAATCTATCGCCTATATTGATTAGTCTATTGACTTGTCTGAGAACTATTGATTAGTCAGTTGACTAGTCTATTTACTATACTTTGACTAGTCTATGGACTATTTACTGGTCCCTTAACTATGCAGTCTACTAACAATCCTATTATGAGCAAGTTTTCATTTGGAAACTACAGTTGGTCTATATAAATATGGCAGATATCTTTAAGAACTAGTTTTCAGTTTAATATTTAGAGGTTAAATTAAAATTTTAATTGTTAATTAAATTTCTTACGTTTGTAATTTTTTTATATTTCATTCGCTCACAGCTTATTCGTTCACGATCAAATATATTCTTCGTTCTGCTTATCTCATTTATCTTCTTTCACATCCTATTCTTTTTTCAATTTGCAAATATTGTAAGATATCATCTTCACACATTTTTTTTTTAATTTTAGGAATAATATCACATGATATGGAATAGATTTGCATTAGGAGTAAAACTTAAAAAAATTAAGGTTGGATTTTTGTTTATGTACATTAGGGTGGCCCAGAGTGTAAGAAGAATAAGGAGGAGAAAAAAGTATTTTTACGGTTTTTTCAATTTCCTTTCATATTGTATTTCTTCATTTTGCATTAGCAAGGGAGAAAAATTTTGATAAGATATGAAAGGTCTCAAAATTGGACCTTTCAATCCTTTGATTCGGATAAATTAGAGAAATGGTATATTAGAATGAACTAAATATAAATTTACTGCGGAAACAGAAGTAACTTTCATTTCGGGGCCGCCCTAATGAAATTTTGTACTCGCAGATGGCATAAGATAAAAATGAGCGTTAAAATGTTCGTTAAATACAAGAAAAGTAAAGAACATAGAAAACAATGACAGAACTTCGAAGGCCAAAGAAGAACAATTTAAATAACCCTTGTCGTATGTACAATAAAAAACTTTCTTAAAAATTTTTTGAAAAATTTTCCATTCAAAAACCATTTAAAATAAATGCAGATTACCATTTCAAAAAAAAAAAAAACAACAAACCCAATAAATTACCTTATTGTATTCTTATGATGCAATCTTTGTAGACCGGATATATTGCCAGGAACATCGCTATCACCATTGCCCCACATACCAAGACGGTCACGAGGAGCTTTCTTCAAAGGACATTCAAATCCATTTAATTTAGTAATTTCCATACTGTTAATATTAATTTATTTTAAAAAATAAGGATGTTTTCTTCCGACAAATTTATTATTCTTTTCTGAATATTATTTAATTTGTTATTTTCTTTTATTATTATTTTTTATTTCAAGTCTCTCACTAGACTAGAGAAAATAGAAATTGTTTTGTTTATTGCCAGACGGCGTTCCAACTTGTACTAATTTTTACAAAAACTTTGCTATATCATACATCTACTCTCATCCACAGATTGTTCATTTTCGTATACTAGGTACTCGCTGTTTAGTGTTAGTTTTGTATTTTCTTATTGTTATGTTTTATTTCGGTTGATAAATTTTTGCAGTCGTATGATTTTTCGTTTGTTTAAAATATTGCGCATTCCCTCTGCCACAACAACTATATTTTAGTGTGAGCACACGGGTATGTGTGCATGCTAATTTGTTGCTCTTGAGGAAATCCCTCTTGGTGCTTTACGTCATGGATGAAAGTATTAAGTTGTACTGTTGTTGCTTTAACGGCCAGCTGTTCCAAATTCCTATATCAACAATCTATCTATCAGCTGTTTGTGTTTATTGTTCTTCATAATGAACAAACCTTTATTTCCAACGCAAATGTCTACAAAGTTCACATTTAATTAATTAGTTAGTTAGTTAGCTAGTTAGTTAGTTAGTTAGTTAGTTAGTTAGTTAGTGTTAGTTAGTAGTTAGTTAGTTAGTTAGTTAGTTAGTTAGTTAGTTAGTTAGTTAGTATTAGTTAGTTAGTTAGTTAGTTAGTTAGTTAGTTAGTTAGTTAGTTAGTTAGTTAGTAGTTAGTTAGTTAGTAGTTAGTTAGTTAGTTAGTAGTTAGTTAGTTAGTTAGTTAGTAGTAGTAGTTAGTTAGTTAGTTAGTTAGTTAGTTAGTAGTTAGTTAGTAGTTAGTTAGTTAGTTAGTAGTTAGTAGTTAGTTAGTTAGTTAGTAGTTAGTTAGTTAGTTAGTTAGTTAGTTAGTTAGAGTTAGTAGTTAGTTAGTTAGTTAGTAGTTAGTTAGTTAGTTAGTTAGTTAGTTAGTTAGTAGTTAGTTAGTTAGTTAGTTAGTTAGTTAGTTAGTTAGTTAGTAGTTAGTTAGTTAGTTAGTTAGTTAGTAGTAGTTAGTTAGTTAGTAGTTAGTTAGTTAGTTAGTTAGTTAGTTAGTTAGTTAGTTAGTAGTTAGTTAGTTAGTTAGTAGTTAGTAGTTAGTTAGTTAGTAGTTAGTTAGTTAGTTAGTTAGTTAGTTAGTTAGTTAGTTAGTTAGTAGTTAGTTAGTTAGTAGTTAGTTAGTTAGTTAGTTAGTTAGTTAGTAGTTAGTTAGTTAGTTAGTAGTTAGTAGTTAGTTAGTTAGTTAGTTAGTTAGTTAGTAGTTAGTTAGTTAGTTAGTTAGTTAGTTAGTTAGTTAGTTAGTTAGTTAGTTAGAGTTAGTAGTTAGTTAGTTAGTTAGTTAGTTAGTTAGTTAGTTAGTTAGTTAGTTAGTTAGTTAGTTAGTAGTTAGTTAGTTAGTTAGTTAGTTAGTTAGTTAGTTAGTAGTTAGTTAGTTAGTTAGTTAGTTAGTAGTTAGTGTTAGTTAGTTAGTTAGTTAGTTAGTTAGTTAGTTAGTTAGTTAGTAGTTAGTTAGTTAGTTAGTTAGTTAGTTAGTTAGTTAGTAGTTAGTTAGTAGTAGTTAGTTAGTTAGTTAGTTAGTTAGTTTAGTAGTTAGTTAGTTAGTTAGTTAGTTAGTTAGTTAGTTAGTTTAGTTAGTAGTTAGTTAGTTAGTTAGTTAGTTAGTTAGTAGTTAGTTAGTAGTTAGTTAGTTAGTTAGTTAGTTAGTAGTAGTTAGTAGTTAGTTAGTTAGTAGTTAGTTAGTTAGTTAGTTAGTTAGTTAGTTAGTTAGTTAGTTAGTTAGTTAGTTAGTTAGTTAGTTAGTTAGTTAGTTAGTTAGTTAGTTAGTTAGTAGTAGTTAGTTAGTTAGTTAGTTAGTTAGTTAGTAGTTAGTAGTAGTTAGTTAGTTAGTTAGTTAGTAGTTAGTTAGTTAGTTAGTTAGTTAGTTAGTTAGTTAGTTAGTTAGTTAGTTAGTTAGTTAGTTAGTTAGTTAGTTAGGTAGCTATTTGTTTGTTGCATTTGCAAACATCTGTTACACCGTGTCTGTATTAGACAAATGTATATCATTTATAATTACAATTTAATTGCACAAAAACAAAATTCTGTACTAATTTTACAATACTATGACGTTTGCTATCAAGACAACGTTGTCTAAACAATTGTTTAGACAACACTGTCATAACGACGCTATAACGCTAATTAATGCTGTCTATACCTGCTAATTTTGTATCACGATAATAGTTTGACGTTTAATATAATAAATATTTGTCTAATATAGACACGGGTTTAAGATCTATAAAACGCGTTCTGTTATAGTAAAGTAGGGTGGGTATAAATAATTTTAGTAGCAAAGTATATGACAATTTAGCGATTTTCAAAGTAAAATCTAGTGATTTTTAAATCATTAGTTGTTCCAACATCTGGCATCACTATTTAGTGCTTACATTAATATCGATTACTCTTTTGTTATTATTGTCATCTCTAAAAAGCGCGTCGTTTCGCTTGTTTTTCTATTTGTGCTGAAAAATATTTACATTTTGTTATTTTTTATGTTTAATTAATATTGTAATATTTATTTAAAATTGAAGTCAAATAAAAACATAAAGAATATATTGAATAGCAATGACAGAAGAGGAGAATGCTGATACAACATTAACGGATGCTGGACAATTGCCGTCTGAAAATGATGTGGCTTTCTTGCAGTTCATTGAAATGGAAAATTTTAAGTCCTATCGTGGCCATGTAGTTGTAGGACCATTAAAACAATTTACAGCTGTTATAGGACCAAATGGTTCCGGTAAGTAGTGATAAATGTTCATATTTATGGAGTTAAAATCATCTGTGTGTTGATTTTAGGAAAATCAAATTTCATGGATGCCATCAGTTTTGTTATGGGTGAAAAGACGACAAGTTTGCGTGTGAAACGTTTAAATGATTTAATACATGGTTCATCCATTGGTAAGCCCGTATCACGCAGTTGTTATGTTACGGCCAAGTTTCTTATTGGTTCGACACAAATGGATTTCCAACGTGCTGTTATTGGTGGCTCTTCGGAGTATCGTATTAATGGTGAAGTTGTTTCAAGTAATACCTACTTGGGCAGACTGGAAAAGTTGGGAATTAATGTCAAGGCTAAGAATTTCTTGGTGTTCCAGGGAGCTGTCGAGAACATAGCAATGAAAACACCCAAGGAACGCACAGCTTTATTTGAGGAAATTAGTGGGTAAGTTAAAAAATAATTCTTTCTTGTGCTAAAGCTAATAGTGCAAAAAATATTTTTCTTTAAAGATCTGGTACTTTAAAAGAAGACTACAATCGCTTGAAACAGGAAATGATATTGGCAGAAGAAGAAACTCAATTTACTTACCAAAAGAAAAAAGGCATTGCGGCAGAACGTAAAGAAGCCAAACATGAAAAAATGGAAGCAGATCGTTATGCGCGACTTAAAAATGAATATGTAAGTTTGCGATACAATAAAATAGATACTTTTTCTAATAGTTCCATTTGCAGAATGAAAAACAAGTTGAATATCAAATATTTCGTTTGTATCATGTGGAAAAGGATATACAGCGCTTAAATGAGGATATCGAAAGCAAACAACAAGAAATCAAAGAAGTTGAAAAACGCAAAGAAAGTGCCGATGATGTTCTAAAGGAAAAAAAGAAAGAAGCTGGTAAACTAAATCGTGAAATGGCTAAAATTGATCAGGAGGCCAGAGAATTCGAGACACAAATGAATAAAAAGCATCCACTGTATATAAAGGCTAAGGAAAAAGTGGCCCATTGTCAGAAAAAGTTAAAATCTCTGGCGAAGACTTTGGAAACAGCACGCGAAGCTGACAATGCTCATCAACAGGATATACGTAAACTGGAAAAACAATTGGCTGATGTTGAACAAATGAAAAAACGTTTCGAAGATGAAATTGAAAATGAATCACAAAAACGCGGCAAAAGTGTACACATGGAAGAGGGTCTGGTGCAAGAATACGATCGTCTCAAACAGGAAGCTGAAGCTACTGCCACACAATATCGTTCTCAATTGGATTCAGTGAATCGTGAACAAAAATCTGATCAAGATTTATTGGACGGTGAAACCAATCGCAGAGCTTCGGTAGAAGAAGCACTCAAAAAATTGACACTGCAACGCGAGGAAGCTGTTAAGAGGCGTGACAAATTAATGGATCACATTAAATCATCCCAGGCGGCTTTGGAAGAACAAAATCGTATTAAAGATGAACTTAAACGTGATGTGGGTTGTTCAAAGGAGAAAATTTCCGAAATCCAACGGGAATTAGAGAATGTACGTGATCAATTGGGTGATGCGCGCAGTGATAAACATGAAGATGCTCGTCGAAAAAAGAAACAAGAGGTGGTGGAATTGTTTAAGAAACAGGTACCGGGAGTGGTAAGTTGTACAGTGCAGAAATGCTTTTAAGCGCAAAAAGTAATTTTTTCTTAAATTGTATTTTTTTAGTACGACCGCATGATTAACATGTGTCAGCCCACACATAAACGTTACAATGTGGCCGTTACCAAAGTTTTGGGTAAATTCATGGAAGC